TTTTCTACTTTTCTTTTCTGTCCATATTCTTTCATGTAGACACTGTTCTTTCTTTTACGGTTACAATTATTTATGTCATTTTCATAAGGTGCAAGATTAACACAACAGTTATTAGTGCTACTTTGATATGACCTTACTGTGAATTCAGCTTGTAAAGTTGACACATAATGCATTTCACCAATGTGACCTAAATATACAGACCTAATATCTCTACTCTCAGTATTGATAGATTCAACCAGGGTCAAAATCTGAAACATTTGTATTTGATTCTACAATGTGAATTCTTAAGTTCGGTGAGTCCGCAACAGCTTGTATGACAATATGATCAGCCCAAGTTCCTTGCATAGACATATGTGATAAGTACCTCAACCATGAGCCATCCAAATTGCCGCAGTGCAATCGAGGCAGTCAATGTTTCCTTCCATGTCTTGATAAAGAAAAAATCATAATAAAGTTCGAAATAAAAGATTTAATGAAATCATAATGTCGTAATTCCACCTTTCAAACAACTTATTATCCACACGCAAATCGCAACTTGTCACTTGAACGAAACTCCCATGGTTAATATGTAATCTGGATTGATTCATATCCTTCAGGAAAAAGAGCAACGATTTCATCACCATTATTTTCCATACTTTTCTCCCGGACATCTTTTACAAGCTTAAAAAAAGATGAATATGACGCAATCTCCCAGTGATTTACACGAGAGGAAGTCAGGTCTCTTTTATTTTCCCCTGAGGTGGCCGGCTCACCAGGAAGAAAAAGAAGATCGTTCGGTCCAATAACGTTAGTCTATGGAGATTATCAAGCTAATAACTGAGAAGATTGTGCCCTTTGCTTCGTCAGTTACAGCATTAATTATTTCAAATCTGTATTTCTCGGTCCAAGCGACACCAAAAATAGTTCCTTTTTAATGTTGTAAGCACTTTCTATAGCATTTTATTGTCAAGGGAGATAAGTCTCAAGGCTCAAAGCCAATATAACGTTCGAGCACGTGAAAGACTTCCTGAAAAAAGCTAAATTTTTGGAAATTGATTGCGATGAAATCCCTGATCCGTTCCCTGTACCACAGGGATACTGAGTAATTCAAAATCTCCACTTTGTGATGATTTTCGCGTGAGTCGTACAAATTGCTATTGTGGCGACTGGGTTTTACATGTTGTACTGCCGCTGACAAGTTACGATTTATACTCTCAGATTCTCAGTGCTTACGAGCGTTCAATTGAGGATTACTTCTTTTTTTTGGTTGTTTTTACTTAGAATGCGCGGAAATCTGCTTATATATCGAAAACTTTCCATTTCTCGTCTTCTTTGGGGCGACCGATGGAAACTTCACGGAGAAATGCAGCGTCACGCCATCGTGACAACGTACATGTTTATGACTAATGACCGCTGTGAGGATAGTTTCGTGTAGATCAGCCGACTTCAACATGTCTTAAATGACATACGAGTCGTGTATCTTCAGAGAACCTCGGATCGCTCAAATTCCCATGAAAGAAGGTGCAGCTCTCGGAATCTGGATGATATGCACACGATTTGAGGTATATGTTTGTAGTTACTTCGAGTTGTCCTCCATGAAGGTTGATCAATAATTTTAAAAAGATGACAACCAGAGGCGAGATTTCTCTTCAGGATATTGCTCATAAGATAACATTCTTTAAAAGCCTTGCATGTTTCATTTGTCTGAAACATTTGTTATTGAGAACATTAGAAGTAAACATCGCCAATTTATGCAATATCTGATTTTTGAGCTTCGCTCGCGAATAGCCCCTATAAAAAGTAGAGGCAGGCCCGCAGAGATTTTTACATATTTAAAAACTAGAATATTATAACCAGCTAGGTGGGTAGTTTCAATTCCAGGATTGGTGCGCTTTTGGAGAAATTCAGATAAACGTTTTCCCTGTTTCACCCGACAAAAAAAATGACCGAAACTGTACCGAGACAAATAATCTCTTGGTGTGTTCACATTCACTTCCAGGGAAAATTGAATAAACCAAAGTGAAGACGAATGATGTCACAATGTATGATAGAAGTGCCAATTTGTAATGTTTTATTTAGCTTGAGATAGAGAAATAAATATTTCACTCTTTTTTTGCGACGTTTTTGTATGAAAAAGAGGCTCTAGGCCTCGAACAAGCAGCCGTTGTTACCAAGAGTGATGCGACCTTTAAAAAGGGCATTTTTGAGCATCCCACCTGAGCGCCTAACTGCATGGAAAATTTTAAGGGAGGTTGAAAATGTTCATTTCCCAAGATGTTTGATTCTTACGGAGACTTTTTCTTAATAAGTATTATATCTGAAATGAAATAGCTTCAGTTGATACAATTATTACAAATTTAGACTGATTACAAAAAATATCTTGATTTTTTGGATAATGGGTTAAACTTATATTTTTTATTGTATCAGTTCAAATTATGTTTCTTAGCCGCTGGATTTGAGAGTCCAGTACGTGAATTAATAGCTTTTTGCGTTTGTACCACTATAGCTAGTTATAATCTTTGTGTATTTTGGTGATAAAGATTCTATTACACATTACATGATTGTGAGATTATATGAATTATATACTGACGAAAGAGAAACAAGTTTAACAAAGTATGACAATTAGCAGTAATTCACAACATTTGGACATCTCTTTTTTAATTTTGTATCACTCTCAAATGGGACAAGTCCACATATCCTCAGCTTCATTGTGGGTTTGCTTTATCTTAGGGAAGCAATTGAATTTTGTACAAAATTATGTCATCACTACAATTTCAAACATTTTGTGATCACTTGCAAGTGACTTTTTTCCTAACAATTTTAAGGTTGCCCAAAGTATAAAATATATATGAATATCGGTGTGACTGGGCAGATCATAAGTCAATTGAAGGTGAAGCTCTAAGAAACGCCAAAAAGTCACTGAAAGACGATTATTAACAAAACTTGAAACTTAAGAAAACCTGAAAGCACAACTGAAGTTGAATTACAACAAAACCTGCAACTTTAAGCAGTACTTAAAGAAAAACAAAAGATTAAAGAAACCATCAAGACGCCTTTAGAAGTCGAAGTTTTGGTCATTTATAGACGAGTTTACGAGATTTAGGAGAATTCTTAAAGTCCACTCATTGGTTATTTAGGTTCGCTTTCATGCGATCTTAAAGTGTTCATGAAATAGTTCATAAAGAGACTTTAATTGACTCTTGAAAGCTAAGTCAAAGGTTCATTTCAGAACTATCGTACATCTCTTAACGATGAGTTAAATGTTTCTTATGTTAGCCTTTAAGTTACCTTTAAGGCAATATAATCGAGCTATTTCATCCTGTGTCCAGACGTTCCGTAGGTTCCGCGGTCTGCTGATCGACAATTCAGCAACACCTCCTGTAGACCTCGAACATTATATTTTCAGTTGTGTCGACTGCTTACGCAATGTTTCCGAGAAGGCCTCTCATTTTTCTGATCGAAATAAGTCACGCAATCCCAACACAATATTGGAACATTAGACTGAAACCCATAATGGGTCCTAAAAAATTTATTCTCTGAAAGAAATACAGCTGCTTCAGACAATCTACAAAACCAGACATTTTAACACAAAAACACTCTCGCTTTTAAATCTACAAACAGTTTGTCCCGTCGCTAGAAGATTGCACTACTGCTCAGTGAGGCGAGACAATCTTTTTTTCTGTAATTAATTAATAGGCAAGGAAATCTCAGTGTCCAGTGCACGTGAGATGACATCTTAGGGCCTATTTACATGGAGGTGGGGGACCCGCCTAGGTTGGGTAACCCGCCTGTTCAAATAATTTGTTATTTTATCTTGATCACGTTTACGTGATGGGTAGGGTGACCCGCTTAGGCGGGTTGCCCGGTCTGCCAGGTAGGGTAACCTTGTCAGCCGGGGTGACAATTTGCCCTGCCGATATTTTTAATTATAGTAATTATTTTTATAGGATTACTTTTTTTTATTTTTGGTTTTTTTTTTAATTGTATTTTGCTTTCTGTCATACATCATATACATGAACCTCTGGCTCGGATACACAGGTCAACCTAATCCCACGCACTGTCATTAATAATCAATTGATTGATACATGTATGATCCGTATTGCACGAAAGGGATCTGACATATGCTATTCGATTAACGAAGTGTTTATGCAAAGGCCCTTAAGACGTCTTCAGAATCTCATTTGTTTATTATTTCTGTATATTTTCAATGTTCCCTTAGCCATTATTTATTGAACAAATGACTTTTAAAAATAAATTAGCTTTCACCTTTACTCATATAATCCTGACAATCACCGACGGTTTCACTTGCAATTGCAGAGGCAAGTGTAACTGAGTTTTCACGCAGGACAAAAGAAAATGAGGCACCAAGTAAGTTGGCCTAGTTTTGCAGCCTGACCTAACATCACGAACTGTCACCGTGACGAGAACGATTCACAGGAGATATACTGATAAGTGCTTACCACTAGCGAGGCTAACCATCTTTTCCACAAGATCTTTGCATTGACTCTCCAAGATGTAATTCTTGCCATAGCTCTTCCGTATAATTTGACATTCTGCAACTGCTGATTCGCGGACACTTTTAATAGCCTCAGCCCACTTATGTGATTCCTCAGAATCTTACAGCCCAGGGGTTACTCTGAAGAAGAACATTTTGCACAGTCTCTCCAAATCCATTGGTTTGGGTGACAAGAAAAGTCCGACCAGCAAATAACGCTTCTAGGGCGGTTAAACCAAATCCTTCCGATCTTGAAGGTACAATTGCAAAATCTGCTGTAGATGGCCGGGTAGCAAGATCACCCTGATTTTCAAGGAATGGTTTCACAGTCAACTGCTTGTTCCTTAAGCCCTACTCAAGTTTCTCTGTCCCTTGTCTCTCGTTTCCACTTAGTGCATCCAAAAAGACGAGCTGGTAACTTGTGTCATTTAGTGGAGCGACTTCTTTGGCCGCAATGTCGAAACCCCTGAGTTAAAAATCTTCTGAGTCGCCTCGTCCAAACAACAGAACATTGAACCTTTTACTTTCAACTCTGGAAAACTTTAAGGGAAAATTCAGAGAAGATGCCTGGCATAAGATGGAACACATCTTTTCTGGATGAGCTAAGGTAACGTGAGTAAAACTCCCAAATTCAGCGCGAGGCAATAACCCAACGAAATTGTTAAAAATGAGCTTTCTGTACTCTGCATGAAGCATGTGCACCAACCAAGCGATCAATCTTAAACCGTCAACTCAGTGAAAAGCATTGCTAAAGTTTACTTTTCTGTCCCAATTCACCTTACGATAGAACCACACATATGAATTAAGCTTAACCTCATTAAGCGAATTAAAATTAGTTATAAATTCCATTCCGTCTCATTCGGTTCAAAAGCATTCGTGAAATTTACTTTCTGCCTTAAATGAGGGCGCAAAAAAAATAAATTGTGCTTCAGCAACGCAGGAGTCTTGATCGGGGTTCCAAGCTCGAATTTTCTTAAGGTCGTCACCTAAAGAAGTAAAATCATTAAAAAGGGTCGCCAAAAAGAAGATTTTGTCGTCAGGAATAAACAAATTAACAGATTCTCAGAAACAGTTGATTTAGTTTCCGATTTTACCGTCCGCTATTAGAAGTACAAAACGCGTAGGTTTCGATACCTGTACTTATAAATACAAGTCATATTCATATAAATGTTTTTTTTTTTCAATGCAGATCAACACAGATACCATCGACCTTTCAATTAAACTAATTAAAAGAGACGAAAGGCTAGCTGCCTCCAGAAAAGTTCTATATACCTTAGCTTTATGTATCAATGTTTCATCATTGCAAACTAAACAAGTTTTTTTTCCATTAAAATCCCTATTTGAGATGAACTTGAATCAGATGACTATAGATTCACTCGTTCCCGTTTGACCGACTCGACGACGATAGCCTCTGCCTTTGCAACCCCTGATGAAAGAAGCAACTTACACGGGAAAACTGTCCAATAACTACGCGACGAAAATCATCGTGCCTCGTGATAAAGCTGATTATTTCGATGCTGCCCTCAAAAACTTTTCGTTTGCAGAGGGAATTTCTCTATAGCAACGAAACTCCAGAGCACTGATCATTACATCAATGAAGTATTCTCCACACTCAGTGCTAAGGAACGATAAGTTATGGCAACAGAAACGAACACAGCTTCCCATTGTTAAGATGGATTTTGCTAAAGAAAACGAGAAACAAACACAACGAACGAAACATTCAGTAACGGGAAATTTTTACTCTGATCTTGACCTGAACACTGCAGGCGAGAAACCGTCTTTGTCGGTCTTGGTCGAAATCTTCGCTTGACGCATGCTGTTCTCCTTTGTAGGGCTGAACCGTATTCGCAACTTCCATTTCTTCTTTATTACTTGGGTAAGATATATCACAACTCTCGGCGGAGCTTACTGAAGTTAGGTATACACCGCTAATAAATAAACAAACTAATACAAAATTACAAGAGAATCGAAAGTTTTCACAGTTTTCTACGTCATCACTCACTAACTCTTCACCAGTCTATGGAACCACTTTAGGCAAAATAAGAGCACCTTTGGACCAGAAAAAAACGAGTTGTAATTTTTTTTAATTTTTCCTCAATGGATTGTATACATGATAGGCTATATAAGTACGCAAAAAGTATTTCGTGTCACAGGCACTCCAACTCGCTCTAACTTACAAACATAAAATGCATTTTCTCCGGTGCTAAGAGTTTTGAAGTAAACGAGACAAAAAATGAAACTCTCTATTCATAAATCCTCTTACTCTTATAGAAGCACCCTCCCTTTTCACTATAAGTCGAACATTCTTTGTGGCTCCTGAAATAATGTACAGGTCAGCACTATCTTTTCCTGTGAAACCATAGATAATGTCTTGAGGAATATGAACATTTCCAAACTTAAACTGTACATCAACGTCTTCAAAAGACACCTTTCCGTGGCGGATACGAGTTTTCATTACGAGAAATTCATCTTTAGCAAGCTCTATATCTTCATCCAGAAAAAACTTTGTTAGATTTTGATAATTATGACACTCAAGTGTGCCATCACTATACCTAATAATTCGTACTCCAGTCTCAGGGGTATGACAGTGTTTAGTAAGCAACTTATCTTGAATGTCATCTGGAATTTTAAATTCAGGGTCCCAAACTTGAAGGTCACCTAATTGATTAGATATCCTTCCATAACGAGCAATACTTCTCAGCACAACAACGGGAGGAGGGTTTCCAGGGAGTTGTGTCGCCAGAACAGGCTGCGGGGTATTTTGGGAACTCTCCCCATGACAGCTTTTTAATTCTGAATATTTAGTTTGTAAATAATCTGTGGTAACGTTGTGTAGATAATTGGAAGACGATTCAGCGTTAATATCCGGTTCTTGAAAGCCTCTTAGGCGGATCATATGTGTGTTTGGTGTGTAAGCACTGTCCCCTTGATTACTGAAAGAAGGTTCCATTCCCACCAAGTCTCTGCTGCCGCCCGCGGCACTGCTAACGCCACTAGAGTGTGAATCAGTCGGACTTTCTTGTTTATCAACCGTCAGTAAAGAGGTGTCTTTACCGTTCTGTGAGTAACTCTTGGATGTGTATGGATTTTCTAATTCTGTAGATGTTTCCTGCAATTGAGGTTCTGAGTTTGATTGTTGGTTTGGAGTAGGCGGCCGATATTCAAACTTTAGTCCTTTCTTGTTTAGGTGAAAGTGATGCAATAAAGCTTGTTCGTGAACGGCTCGATGTTGTTTGTTCCAAGAGAAGATAAAGCTCTTTCTGCCATCAAGATACTCTTTGCCAAACTGTGAGACGACTTTCCTTTTCGCCCAACGTGAAATAACTTCACGTTCCTCTTCGTCTTCGCCCTTGTATTTGTCATCTTCCCCGATAACGATGATGACATCTCCACCTGATAATAAAACAGATTCAGATGTAAAGAGGCGTAACATTACATACTTCCACACATAATATGCTATTTCCAACGTTTTTTTTTGTTGGCCAATGTGTTTGTATCTCCCATGTCAGACACACTTAATCAAATTCCTTTCTAATGACCAGATGTAAAATATGGAACAATGCGCCCCTTTGACTGAGCACCTGGTGTTACCGTCGTGCCGATATTTTTAATTGTAGTAATTATTTTTGTACGTTTAGTTTATTATTATTATTGTAATTTTTTGTTTCTGTTTTTTTAAATTTTATTTTGCATGCTTACTGCCATACGTCTTATACATGAGCCTCTGGCTCGGATACACGGATACTTAAGACGTCTTCGGAATCTCATTTGTTTATTATTTCTGTATATTTTATTTGTGCTCGTGGAAATAAAGAAAAGTATTTCTAACAAAGAGCAAATAAAATTTAACATGTCATCGAAAAAACATCATGTTTCTTAGTTCATTTATGGTAATTGGAGGTCCTCACATAATTCGAATGATTATTCAAATTAATTTGATGTGCTTTGAAAACGCGTTTTGAACCCATTTCAGTGGTATAAATAACTGTTGATTGCAGACAAATGTTTACCTTTCAAATTCGGTTTCATTGGTTAACTGTTTTATCATAACATACAAATTCTCCGTAGAAATATGCTTTGGCCGCTCAAAACCAGTATCCGAATAGAGGCACCTCTGATTTGTGTAGCATTTTTCATTGTGAAGAGTTAACTCAATGTTCCCTTAGCCGTTACTCATTGAAGCAAAATGGCTTTTAAATGTAAATTTGCTTTCACTTTTACTCATATTATCCTGTCAGTCCCTGACGGATTCAATGGCAATTACATGTAGTTGATGTAGTCTACTTGAACCCAACTTGAACGAGTGGCATCCCGATGAAAGTGCAAAATATTACAGTATTCCCAGACTCTATGCGTTTTTCAACATCTTTCAGTGCAAGTATTAATAACTTCCAAAATTCAGTGACAAGCAATGAGTCATTGAAATCTTATATCTTAGTGGTCTGAACGACGTATGACATGAATCTTAAGGTCAACATTAAACCACAAATTCAAGGAAACACACAGGCACACGCAAATTGGGTTTAACATTGAAAAACGAATTGAAATTGTCACAAGATTCTTGGAAACAGTTCCTCTTGTCTAATCCATCTTATCATAAGCATTCGCTGGAAGTTTGCTTCTGTCTTGATTTAGGAAAGGAAAAATAAAATCGAAATTCAGAAATAAATGCAAACACATTGCCTAACATTGCCTAAAAATTTTGATCGCCAACAAAAGAGGGAAAACAGATCATCGCAAACGGTCTTAGTCGCTTCCGCTTAAATTGTCCGCCGCTTTATTCACAGAATCACATCGCGTTAGTTTTATACGGTTGATAGCTTTTCTTAGCAGCAAAATTAATAATGCAAGGCAAAGATTTTTTCCTCTCCTTGCTCGGCAGCAAATACAAACGGGTTTACAACTGAATAAAAAGAGAAAAAAAAAACAGTCAAGCCGATTATCTGTTGCCTTCATTAAACCATTGTGTACCCTTGTTCCAAGTTATTATAAAGAAGCATTCGAGTACAATTCTTTTTTGCTCAGCGCAGGTATCTCAAACAAAGTGGAACTGTATTTCTGTACCGAGAATTCGATTTCCTTAGTCGTAACAGATCCTCGACGACGCATGAAACAACTAGTTGTAGTTACCAATTTCCGGAGCAAGCGCCGAGAACTGCCAACCTCGATTTGCTAATTTACTTTCGATTTCGACTCACATATCTAATGGGCCTTTGTTAGGGAAAATGTACAACAGCTCCGCAGTAAATTTGATAAACTTGCCACTGCTTTTGTCAAAGAAATCGCTGCCTGCTGAACAACGCATTGTTAAGCAAAATTAAATGTGTTTGAGACAAACAGATTTAATAATGATAAATAATGATAAAAAAAAACTGAAAATGTTTCAGCTCCTTACCCGTTGCTTGTAATAAAGCCCGGTATATTTTGGCGTAGCCAAATCCCGCGCCGTCCTCGTTTATCGAGAGAACACATTCATGTGCATGAACCACGAAAAAGGCCATATCCATCTCTAAGGTGGGAATTATGTCTACCATTTCATACATTTTAGGAAGTCTGAAGTAGTGCTTCTCAACACGCTCAACATGGATGCCACATTTCTCCAGCAATTTTTCAACAGGCTCTAGCTTGTATGTGTTATCACAGTTGAAAAGATGAATTCGCTTTTTGAACTGAGATATCTTAGCCTTTTTGAATGTAGTTGTTGACAAAACCTGGTGCAATTCGCTGAAATGGGAAGGAGGAAATTCAACTACGTAACATTGGAAGGAAACCCGACACTATCTTTGATTGACTTTTACCATACGAAAACATCACGCAACAGACTGCAAACACATAACGCCAATGCCAAACGCTTTCAAAGGTATTCAATGGCATTCAAAGGCATTCAAAGTCCAAGGTTCCTTGCTAAGCCGGTCAGCGGTACTAAGGCTGTGCGTATTTAGTGCCGAGATAAATTCTTCACTATTCTGTGATTTTGCTCATCCATCCTTTTATGGTTTAATTTGTTACTTCATCGAACCGTATTGAGCAGTGGTGAACCAAGTGTATGTATCTATTTCATTAGCTCATTTTATAAAGCGCTTGGTGAGCGCTAAATACTCTTGATCAGTGTCACTCTTGCTGCCTATTGTTTTGGCTTGTAGATCTGTGTTGTAAACCCTTTATGAGCCCCTCTGTTTAATTTATATTCGCTTGTGTTGTAAATTGCTGAGAGAAAGTGTTGTAAATTGGTGATAGCAAAAAATTGTGCTTATTTGTACTGGCTTGTGTCGTAAATTGGTTACCAATGAAGGTTGTGTTTCGATTGTGTTCATATTTTGGTTGTTTTGTATATTGGTTATTGCCAAAGACTTTTTTATTATTTACTTGGCTTGTGTTGCACGTGTTGTTGGCTCGTTGTTTGCCTCTCATTGGAAAATATACATTGATTTTAAAACATCAACAATCAATTTCTATTTTGTAAAAAAAAAAAATGACATCCTTAAAAATAAAACCAGTGGATTGAAAATAACATTATTCTTTGGGGTATGCTAACAGAAAATACATGTGTGGATAAATAAATGAATAAATAATGTGTGAAAGAATAAACCTTTGGTGTTGTGTACATATTTCGTAGAAGGCTTGTTGTTATATGATGTCTTTATTAATGTTTCTTGGCTTTTTCATCCACAATATCACAAGTATTTACCATTTTTTTATGACTGCCTTATCTGCAAATGTTGTACTTTCAGTCCTTTATTCTACTTTCCCAACCTTGTCAAAACTGACTTACTCTACATACACCTTCAAAATTATATGAGGAGAGATGAACTTGTTCTCCTAGGGCATATCAAACAGAGTGTTCCTCAATTTAAATCCGGTAGTTGTAACTGTGGTAATCACTCTGTCATTGCAGGGCGTGAAATTAACTTTTTTTTCTGATAGCCATTTGGCTCCTAAATTCTCCAAAGTGGTAGCCAATTCAAAAAAAGTTGGTCGCCATTTTCAAAGACAAACAAAATCTTTCTTTACGCTGTTAGCGTTCTAGATAGACCCTCCAAAATTAAGTTAGGGAAAAGATCTTTAACGTGCTGCAAAGTGGACACTAGGATGGATGATATACAAATTTCAGGCTCATCTAAATCCAAGATGGCGTCTAGTTATCGAACGAGATGCATGTGCTACGTTTTGGAAACAAACTTAACGAGGAAGATTGCCGCGGATTTATCTTTGCAAATCTTTTTAATTCACTATATCTCTTGGTAAGATTATGATGAAACGTTCTAGTCGCCAATTTGGCAACTAACTTTCAGGATTTGGTCGCCAAAGTGAAAAATTTAGTCGCATTGGCGCCTGTATTAGACGCAATTTCACGCCCTGCATTTTCTTTTCTTTTACCACAACACAAAGTAATTAAGATTAAAAAAGAAACACATTGAGCAGAGGCTCACCTTAAATTTTATTTCAGCCTTCCCGTTTACATTTCTATTAACTGTCCTGATATTTTTGGAAAGTTTTGTACGGGATTTGCCTTACCCTGTAACCCTTGAGAGGGATTAGTATTTAATAACCCCCTACAATATCATCCCTTAATCAAAAATCATTTAGTCAAACGGATAAAGCAAATGATCATGGATGAAAGGTCTTGATTGTTAAGAAAATAATTAATTATCATCATCCGCACCTTAATAGGAAATGCATGGGGAAGAGTATGGAGAAGGTGCATACTGTATGATGTAACCAGCTGGGTGTAAAGGGTTAGGGAAATGTTTAAGTTCTGTGCAGCATTAAATCTCTCTACTTGAGGTGCTCATTACTTCTTGATGTTATCACTTTGAAATTTGTTTTTCTTTCCTTGAAACAGTAGATAAAAATATGTTAAATACAAAGCCACTGTTCATATGTTCACTAATGAATCACTTTTGGAGTTTAACTTCAAAAATGTTTTCTTTCCAGCCTGATGACCAACTGCTTTTTCTTCATTGAATGTTGTTAAAATTGTGTGCAACTCAACATCACTTGATATTAGAAATTCTGTATTATGCTGCTCATGTTTATCGGATGTTTATGCTATTAGTTAGAACGCATCTTGTAGGCCTGCCACACTCTGCATGTGTCTATATATGCTGTATAGATGAAAAGGGAAAGCTTTGATGATGGCTCAAAACACACTTTAAGAAGTACCAGTCTACTGTATCTTTGATTTGCATTGTTGTTATGTTATCAGTGTGCAAAAATAGTTGAGTTGCACAATCCAGGTTATTTTACTTAGAATGATGATTGGGTCAAAAAAGTTGGCACCAACCATGTATTTTTTTGACAAAATAAGCAAAGTCCATGTATTTTCTTCTTTGATTGAAACAGATTTGATATCTCAAGTACAGAGTTAATTTAGCATAACATATAATTGATTTGTTGTTGTTATCATGTGGTGGCAAACATTGATGTCATCCCCTTTGATAGAAATTTTGCATGGAGGTTTATTGGAGCTATACAATAAGGCTGTTTGAAGGGTGACTTACAATCTAATTTGAAATTCTCAATAATTTAAGAACATATGATAAACATTATGATAGTCTATTATCCAAGGGACTTAATCTTGCAAAGGGTAAAAGTTCTTTGAGATCATGTGGTGATGCCCAGCAAAGATTTCTGAGGATGTAACCACTTGCATTGTGACATTCTCAAAAAGGAAAAAATTGAGGATTGTCTTGCCAGCGAAGTTCCCTGCGCACAATAAAAAAAAACCTTTTTCAAATTTATTAAATTATCAAGACTGGTCGACACATAGAGAAGCCTTGGCTGTACTCTGTTAGGCATGCGTATCATGCAAGAGTTAGTGTATAACTGGGTGTGTTGCAGTAGGACACTTTGTGAACGTATTGTTTTCATGTTTGTGACAGAAAAAGAGCATAACTTTCAAAAGAACGAAAATATCGTGTTACTTCACTTTATCTTAACTCTCACAAGTTCTTTGTGGTCTATTGTTTCTATTGTCTAAATACTTCTAAACAAAAATAAAATGCATCGATGCCACGCCTACTGTGGTCTCCTTCGAAGCGAGCGAGGTGTGAGGACGAATATTCGATCGCTCCATGTTAATGCAATTTTTCCCTCTATGCCTAATCCAAATGTTAACCGGCTTGAAAAAGAAAATGAAAGCCTCAAATCAGAAATTGCTGCTCTAAAGAAAAATTTGAAGACTTTCAGAATTCGCTCAAACTTAGCGTCAACAATGCTAATGTCTCCAACAATGGCGGCGAAGTGAGTCGACCGGCGATATCACAGGACGAGACTTTGAACACTCTGCAATTTTATGGCAAGTCTTACGGTGACCTTCGCCAGGAAGCGGATAAAAGTTTACAACAGCTCTGGTCACACCTAAATGTCTTGTCTAAACGAGTAGAAGAGATTGGGAAATCCATTGAGCTGATTCAGCGCTACAGTTATGAATACAGCGTAAAGATCGTCGGTCTCCCTGAAATAAAGGCAAGTGAGTCAGCCTCCGACACAACTACACTATGTCTTAGCCTCTTTCAAGCTGCAGGAGTTGAAATTTCTATTCAAGATATCGATATTGCTCATCGTACTCTCACCAGAAACGCCACTCCTGGCCCGAGACCAGTCGTTTGCAAGTTCACAAGAAGGATTGGTGAAGAGAAGGTCACGAATGTACGGAAAGATGCATGCAAGATTACAGCTACTTCAATTGGTTTACCTGCCAATTCCACACTAGAGAACGTGAAGCTTTTTCATCATCTAACTCCGCTGGTCCAACAACTCCTGGCGAATACGAAAAAATTTCAAACTCGTAATGGCTTTAGGTTTTCTTGGTGTAAGAACTTCATCTATCTTCGGCAAACCGAAGACTCCCGCCCTATCCAGTTCAAAACCCTTGACGACCTTGAAAAGTTTGCTCGGCAAGAAAGCCTACCTTTAAGCTAAGTTCTCTAAATTTTGTAACTTATATTAGTCTGTAAATTAATTTGCTGCTTCTATGATGGTTGACAAGACACCCTTTCAATCTTTCCTTCCTTTTAATTACCTGGATGATAGTTCCTTTAATTTGGCAGTTTATGAATTTTATTATGGCCCCTCGAGTTACGATGCTGACCGTCTTGAAACATTATTATTTAATCCTGTTGAAAGGCCCGAATTATTTAATCCACTCTGTAGTCATCTGAATCCCGACTCTAACTTTATCACTCGCCTGCCCGATGGTGGCTACACGGTTGAGGAAGATCTGAGCAATCGAGTAGCTTCTTTTGGCGACAAAACAAACTTTTCTATTATACATTTAAACACTCCAAGCTTAATGAGAAATTTCGATCAACTTAATTCATTGCTGAGAAATCTAAATATGCTGTTCTCTGTGATTGGTGTGTCAGAAACATGGCTAACTGATTGCACTGCAGAGCTCGTAAATATCATAGGATACAATTTTGTCTCCCACCATTGTAAATCGAAAACGAGCGGCGGAGTTGGAATTTATTTACAAAACGGCGTTGAATACAAACTTCTCGAAGAAAGCAAATTTTCAGATCCACAGGTAATTGAGTCACTTTTCTTGGAAATTATGGTTTCCCATGGAAAAAATATTGTTGGTTGCGTGTACAGACCACCAAATCAAAACACTGCTATGTTTATTGACAAATTCAACAATATTCTCTCACTAATTACTAGAGTCAATAGACATTGTTATGCGATGGGAGACTTAAACCTAGACCTTCTCTAATACAATCATCATGTTCCAACACAGGAATTTATTGACAGCTTATTTTCACGCTTTTCTTCCTCTCATCTCCAGTCCAACCCTCGGTCCTCAACTCGTACTCTGCAACACTAATTGAAAAGATATTCACCAACAACCTTGCTCATGATGTTTTTAGTTTTCTTATAGAAATTATTTATTCCCCCATTGCTTCTCAATCTTTTTGTAACGAATAGCCAAATTCACAACTACGTTACCAGAACAGCCAGTAGTTATCGAACGAATTTGTGCCATGCAAATCTCAAGCAATTTCCAATTCTCTACTAAGATCCTAAAATTTCTTCCTGTTTCAGTCACTCGTTCGTCAAACCTTTTTAGCTTTAAGACGGAAATGCAAGAGTTTCTACTTAAATAATCACTGAATTGGCCAAGCCGCACATTCGCAGCACTTTTTCTTTACTTTATTTATTAATGTAAGGTGGCTCTCCCATAAGCCCGGTGGCTTCCTCGCCTTCTCGCTATAACCGCTGTATATAAATTTTTTTGTATCGTGTAAATAAGGCAAATAAAAAAGATGATGAAGCTGTTGTCCGCTCTTGCCCCACAACGCCCTCTCTTCCTCGTTGAAGAGAGCGTGTTGTGTGACGAGACCAAATAACAGTTGCGAAAGAGTCGGCTTACTGTCGTTTCTCTGACAGAGAAAAAAATTAAAAATCATTCTTCTACAGTTAGCTTCCTCAAAAATATGATTCCATGTAATTTTGTAATTTAACTACGAAAAGCAAACTAAAACTCTGTGTTATCTTTAATAGACCCTGTTGAAACCGCCTCACTCCCATGCGTAACACGAGTTCGATCATGTAACACAAGTTTTCGAGTAGAGTTTAAAACGATTTGAGTTTCACCGATTAAAGTTAATATTCCAACAAGAAAAAGTTCGTGTGATCGTTACAGACCCTAACCAAACATATATTGCGAATAAGTGTAGATACAATGAACAAGAGAAAGAATGCTCAAGTTGCGGCAATCTGATTGGCGCGAGAAACATACCACTCTAGAGGCTAACATAGTTCTTTTTTGAATTAAAAAAAAAAAATTAAAAAATCTTCCAAGATGCCACCCTTATTATATGTATGGTCTATAATCAAGCTGTCTGCCAGTAGAACTTTTAACTTGTTTCCATGGTCTCTCTCTTCAGTTTTCCTTTTCTATTGTGTTTTTTCTTTCTCTAAATAAAACCGAGTCTTTGTCGCTATCTCTCGTCAAAAAAACATAAGCTCATGAGCAAATATACTCTTTGAACGGTCTAAACCATGATGATTTGTCACATTTCAATCTTCAGAAGAAATGGATTTTAAGACTGTGAACAGTTCGGTTTTCGCTTGCATTGAGACGTCTGATATCACATCAACTTGGACGAGCATCGCAACTGAAAAGAGCTATTTCTGAAGGTTAAGAGTCAAAAGGAAGACATCAATTCAGTTGTCGTCCCTCGTTATTTGCCAGCTTCCTCATACAATGAAGTGGATTTTACCAGTTCCTTTAATCTTTATGCTGCTAAAAAAAAGCCTCTTGTGACTTGACAGGTTTAAGGCCTCCTATTTCTGTGCAAAAAAAAAATCAGCCATTCTATCCATTACTCCACTTTTAACCACGGATCGAAACTGTCCAACACTATCTAAAATGACGTACAAGTCACCATACGGGTTCCCTCTAGATTCTGTTTTCAAACGAGCAATAATATGTGGGGGAATGTCAATATCCCCACGCAGAAACTGCACATCATCCTCCTCAAAAGATACCTCTCCATTGCGGACACGAGTTTTTAAGACGAGTACTTCATCTTGAAAAAGTTGTACTTCCTTTTTTAATGAAAATCGCCTCAAATTTTTAACAGTGGTCCACCCAAATGAGCCATCGGGGTGTTTAAAAATTCTTACACCAATCTCAGGGGTGTTTGAGAACGTTTTAAAAAGACGTTCAAAAATGACATCGGGAATTTTAATTTCCAAGTTTCTTATATGAATATCACCCAACTCATCAGATAACTTTCCACGACGAAAGATACCTCTCAGCACAAGAATAGACCGGTAAACCACTGAGGATTGTGACGGCAACTGCGAAATATTTGGAGGGCCCTTTTCAACAATTGTTTCCTCCGCTGGAAGGTTTGTTCTCTCTCCAAATTGATATGTATGTACGGTCAATGAGTTAGCACAGATATCTGGTTCTTGTGAGCCTCTTGGACGGTTCATCTGAGTATTTGGTTCGAAGAGTTGCCTCAAAATCTTGATAAGATCATCTATATTCACACTGAGCTTCCCTTTGTTTAACTCCACTATGGACATCTTTTCTTCGTAACTTTTAAAGCGTCCCATGAATTGATCGACTGCACCTTCTTGCGTTGGTGATAGGTTAGTGGTTTTAAGACCGCAAACCAAGATGATGACTTTTACAACTGTGAAAACGAAAATGGCAAAAGGATATTATTAACCTTGTTAATAACTTTTGTCCCGTTCGACATTCTGTAGGTTTGGAGGATGAAATTCACTGTCTCATTTTTTGACTTCCATGATATAAGGTTTTATGCAGGGTGAATACTGTGTTTTTGGGGAGACTCCTTACTTTAGGCCAAGGCGTTCAAACGCAATCGCCACTTACCCTAATCCCATCCTAACACTGATAAGAAAAAAAAGTTACCTATAAACTTTTTAACGGAATAAAGAGCTGAAACCCACACTTGATCTATCTGAATTTTCATGACCTTCCCTATCCGGCTTCTTTCGAGTTTTATCATTCTAAATAAAGGGACAACCAAAAAGAAATCAAGAAATGACAACGAGAATATCCAGTGAGACCTAAAGATGTCAACGGTTGAAGAGGAAATGGTTTAAAGGCTTCTAATTATACAGGATCTTGTGATGGTGTACTTGGTAATGATTGACTTAATGATTGATTGAATGACTAAATGATTGATTGAATGACTTATTCTCTGCTGACTTACCAACTCTACGCAGTGCAGTTTCGAAACATCGTTGGTATTCCTCAAGTTTTCCTTTTCCAGAACCATCTTTCAGTGTAGACGCATCTATCACTAATACACAGACTCCGAGTAGATTTTCCTTCAAAAATTGCTCAACTTTGTCGGGTTCTAGGTTTTCAAAAGTAGGATCTTCTGATAGGCGAAGACTGCAAATATTCTTTTGCAAAATTTCCTTAAGATCAGCCATGGTTTCAGGTGACGCATTGCAGCTAAGAATCGCCAAATCTAAAGATTAAACACCGGTGATTGTAACATTTATCAATTCCTCAACTTACAAGGTACAATGACCCAATAGCAAGCGCATAAGACAGATTCAACTTTAGTCTGTGAATTCTACAAACTGCTTTATTTTAATCATCAAAAGATTCAGACCCAAGTTTTTATATATATATCTACCTTTAAATGACGAGGGTGGTCGTTGTAATAAATTCAAACAAACGTTTTATATTTGCTTCAGAGCTTGTTTGTTTTTTACTTAACCAACAACTTCCAATCTACCATTACTACTTAAAACCCCTTAAATTGATTACTGTGATGATACAGTCGCAAATTAAAATGCATTTCCTACCAGAAAATTGTTAAATTGTCCAATAATTTCTCACCTTGCTACCGAGACCGAAACAAAGCTGCACGAAAGCGTGACACCCACGCGAGTTGATTTCGCTGTCGCGTAATAGGGTTCATATGACAAAAAAAAATTCAGATTTTTGTGAAAAACATCCAAAGATAGTCGACGTATGGGCGAAAACTTTTAAGTTTGCTTTAGCTTGAACTCAAGAGTCTTCGCTCATTCAAAGTGACTTTTTAGACCCAATAGAACCCGATATATTACTATTTTGGGCGAGGAATCGCTAACAGTAATTTACAAGCATACACGCTTCTGCGTCATATTTTCTCGTATATAAAACTTTAATAACTGAGAAAATTACCATTTCGAACTAGACACAAGTAGGTGCTCAATTACTGGGGTACTTTCGAACCGTTGAATTGACAGCAGTAGATAAGAGTACTGCTTTGTATACAAATGAACTCAAATGTCCGATGACCTTGCATACATGAAGACAACAGTTCCACAGAATGAAAGCATACTGAACTTTACTTAGCACCAAATTTGTGACCTCTAACACTTCTCAAAATCTGATGTATTCAGTTTTTTGAAAGTTCTCTACGATTTCAAGTAATGTAATTCGTGGACCGACCCGTTCCGAAAACGCTCAACACCTTTTAGTGTGGGCTCATCTACAATGATGTGTGCATCTGTAAGTGAGAGGAGCGGAATTATTCTGGCGCAGTTACGAGTTTCTTTGGTAATGCGCTCGCGATTCCCATTCCCCGTTTCCAGCGTCTCCGCTAGGGAACGCTTGGGACTATGATGTAGACAGACGAAAGCTCGAGTAATGACTGACTGCTATACAAACCAATTTAAAAATAGAGTGCCTGTTAATCACAAGGATATCTTGCTGAATCATTATCTAACCTTTGATTTCTCGAGAGCTTGGATGGAGGATATTTCTAGAACCGTCGCCTGTAAGACGATTATCGATCAGTCTTCTAGCCGCCGTCAATGCAGTGGCGACTTCATCATTGTGCAAAGGACTTTTCTGTGTCCGCAGATTTTCGAATTCTATAGGTCAATCGTTAGCCGTAAAACAACAAAACAAATTGACATATTTAGGCCATTAGTCGTGAAAAAGTTATCGTAAATTGTATCTATTAACCATACAGGAAAGAAATGTGACGCTTCCTCAGTTTCCCCTGAAAAGGAACCGTAACCTGAAAACTACCCAAGATACATTTCGGAGTTGTTGCACCTACTTTTATGCTTTTTTCCGACAATCTTTCTCGAAACAGCTGAATGCGCTAAGTCATTGGATTCAATACTTCGGTTCAGAAAAATTACCTTCGTCGACACCCACAAAGTGTTCTGGTCTATTTTCTTGGAGTTTCTGGCACTGTTCAGATTTTGATGAAGCAACTGATTGTTTTTCATCTATCTCTGATATCACAACAGAGGCCTCATTCAAACTTTGTGACGGAGCAGCAGTAACTGACGATTTCACCTTGCTTCCTGAAGCTGCAAATGTTACATAATGCATTTCAAATGAGAAAGGTGCTCACAAGCGTGGGACAAATAAAGATATCAGAGTCCTCATGTGGAATTGAACAACAGACCATCGGATCTAATTATCTGAGGAAATGTAAAGCCTCCTTTCCAATATTTTTCATTCAAAACGGAATAAAATGCTACGACCAGAGTAGTAATGCTTTTAGTTAGTAATAATTTTAGAGTTAATTGCTGATACGAATGTAATTCTCTAACCTTTAGGTCTTTCAAGACTTGGGGAAAGATTTTTTTCAGGCGTGGTTCCTTGACTACAAAAATATGATGACTTTCTTCCACTGGTCGTTTCAAAATCATGCGCAGTGAAACCTTCTCGTCTCTCCTCACGTTTGTCCTTGAGCCTTTGTTCAGTCAAACGCTGGTCTTCAGGTAAAGGACCTCTTGCACTCGATGATAGTGCATACTCGTCTTCCATTTGTGCATTTTTCACTTCAGGGTGCGTTTTGGTACTTTGTTCATCTGAACGGTACACATTAGAGGCCTCATTCAAACTTTGTGAGGGAGCAGCACTTATTGACGATTCCATCTTGCTTCCTGAAGCTGCAAATGTTATATAATGCACTTCAAATGAGAAAGATGTTCAGTTTTCGTCTTCTCTCAAACGTGGGACAACTACAGATATCAGATATCTCATGTGGAATTGAACAACAGACCATCGGATCTAATTATCTGAGGAAATGTAAAGCCTCCTTTCCAATATTGTTCATTCAAAACGGAATAAAATGCTAAGACCAGAGTAGTAATGCTTTATGTTAGTAATAATTTTAGAGTTAATTACTGATACGAATGTAATTCTCTAACCTTTGGGTATTTCAAGACTTGAGGAAAGATTTTTTTCAGGCGTGGTTCCTTGACTACAAAAATTTGATGACTTTCTTCCACTGGTCGTTTCAAAATCATGCGCAGTGAAACCTTCTCGTCTCTCCTCACGTTTGTCCTGGAGCCTTTGTTTAGTCAAACGCTGGTCTTTAGGTAAAGGACCTCTTGCACTCGATGACAGTCCAGACTCGTCTTCCAGTTGTGCATTTTTCACTTCAGGGTGCGTTTTGGTACTTTGTTCATCTGAACGGTACACATTAGAGGCCTCATTCAAACTTTGTGAGGGAGCAGCAGTAACTGACGATTCCATCTTGCTTCCTGAAGCTGCAAGTGTTATGTAATGTATTTCAAATGAGAAAGATGTTCAATTTTCGTCCTTTCACAAGGGTGGGATAAACGGAGAAATCAGAGTTCTCATGAGGAATTGTATAACAGATCATCGGATTTCGCGTTTCGACGCTCCACCTCCCAGTCATTGAGACTGAGCCACAAGGTCGATAACAGCATTATGCTGAACACTCCTTAGATATTACGTTATAATAACTTAGCTCACCCTAGAGTATCAGTGGCTCAGTGTAAGAGATTCAGAGCGCGAAATTCCTTGGTATGAGGTCGATTCCTTGCGGCAACTCAGAATTATTCTTTGTGCCACGTTCTTTACATGATTAAAAAAAACCATCTCTCTATATTTCTATATTACTACGCTCAAAATTCACCGCTGACCTTTAATATGAAATTAACTTACTACTTTAATGTTATCACGTTAAAAAAGTAATATAGAGAAAAACATTTACCATGGTCAGTTCACTCAAGTAGCTAAGCAGAAAAGAACACAAAAATGTAAAAAAAAACTAGCAGTGATAATAGAAATGAATCATCAGGACGGTGTAGTAAGGGAAAGTGTAGATGAGTTTTCACGCAGCAGAACGAAAACCTTTTGAAACAAAATGGGACACAGGTAAGTTGGCTTAGTTTTGCAGCCAGACCTAAAATCACTATGACCGTGACAAGAACGATTCACAAAAGATATACTGAAAAGTGCTTACCATTAGCGAGGCTGGCCATCTTTTCCACAAGATCCCTGCATTGACTTTCCCAGATGTACTTCTTGCCATAGCTTTCCCGTAGAGTTTGACATCCCGCAATTGCTGCTTCGCGACCCTTTTCTCGGACACTTTTAATAGCTTCAGCCCACTCATCTGGTTTCTCAGAATCCACAACCCAGGGGGTACTCTGAGGAAGAGCCTCTTGCAGAGCCTCTCCAAATCCGCTAGCTTGGGTGACAAGAAAAGGCAGACCAGCAGATAACGCTTCCAAAGCGGTTAAACCAAATCCTTCCGATCTTGAGGGTATGACAGCAAGATCTGCTGTAGATAACAGGGTTGCAAGATCTCCCCGATTTTCAAGAAATGACTTCACAATCAGCTGCTTTTTGCTCAAGCCGTACTCAAGCAGTTGCTCTGCCACTTGTTCCTCATTTCCACTTGGTGCACCCACAAAGACGAGCTTATAACTTGTGTCATTCAGTTGAGCGACTGCTTTGGCCGCTATATCGAAACCCTTGAGTTTAAAATCTTCTGAGTCGCCTCGTCCAAACAACAGAACATTGAACCTCTTACCTTTGACTGTGGAAAGCTTTAACGAGGATAATTCAGAAAAGATACCTGGCGTAAGATTGAATACATGTTTTCCGGAGGAGCTAAGGTAACGCGAGTAAAACTCCCAAAGCCTTGGTCCAACAGACACCACTAGATCGGCAATCTGGCACAGTTTGATTTCATTCCACTGTTTTTTGTCGCCCTTAGATATGGCATTGTCACAATCTGAGTACGTTTTCAACATGGAAAGTTCCTCAGGAGCAGTATGTACAACTTGAACCCACTTACACCGATGGCTTTCCCTTATTATTTGAGCTTGTTTACCAAGTTTTACACCATGGCCAATGATTATGTCTATGGAGAGATCATCTGGTGGAAAACTTAACCAATCAAGCGGATCGAATGCATGCCGCTCCCGTGCTTTAACGATACGCACGTTACAACCACTACTTGCATTTTTGTCGTCTTCAGTGCATTTCGGGACAAAGAAAGTTACGGACACATTGGGATGTTTAGCCAACTGTATCGCCAATTCTCGATTTATGGTCGACAGGCCACCTTTGGAAGACTTCCATTCGTCCGCGAGGAGAGTAACTTGTAATTTGCTATTGGACATGTTCCTCGAAATGCAATTCAGCATACACCGTAATGTTTCAGTGGGGGTGATGGCATTCACGGCTAATGAATAAATTTTGGCCAATTAACGGCTAACAGTTAATATCTTTTCGTTGTGGTTACAAGAATTTTTTTAACGATTAACTTTTTACAACTAACTATTAAAATTTATCAATTTTTACGCCTAACGGCTAAATTTTTGGCCGTTTTACGGCTAACGGTTAACCCCATTGAGACCCTCTTATTCCGTTTTACTTTTCTGCATTGAATTGAAAATTGCTTCATACACCATTAAAGAGAATATTTATTTGTGGATCTTGAGGGTATTGAGGTGAGAAAAATGCCTGCTAGCTATGTATGTCAAATGAATTTATCCCTTTTACGATTATCACACAAATGAGTGTTCATTCAGAAAAAGGGAAAATACTAAGAATTATGATTAAGAAAAAGCAAACGTAAAATAACATTGTTTAACTCCCGTTTAGTTTTCCGAACATCATCTCTTATCCCGTTACGCTAAGAATGTACTTGTCACGCAAGGAAATTTTTCAGGCATCCCTTCAAAATAATTTAATCTTGACTTCGTTCGTTCAGGACCTGGGGGAGCGTGCAAGATTATTTTAACTTTGCCTGGCTTGAGTGCCGTTGTGCAGCTAGCCCAAGCAGAAATGTTCTTTTAAGTATGCCAGGAAACTATGAATGAATAATTAAGTATGACAACATAAAATAAAACTTGATTTTCCATTGATTCAAGTACTTGCTAACTTGTCTTACAACAATGGAATACTTTTCGCATCGCCTGAGGTTACTCTCGAAGCGATGCGATTTCGTAAGCACTCCTAAAGCCAATTCTCTCCAAAGATCTTTCAATCACGGGTTGATCAAACCATAGTTCCTGCTGTTAGCTGTGATCAAATAACTATGGAAGAAATTAACTGCTCACAAACTCAAGATTAAAATCCACCTTCGCACGCGTGCTGAGCACATTGAGTGAGGCGAGTGGATTGGCTTCCTTATAGAGGAACTACGATCTGAAATAAAGCTTCGTACCTAGTGGTATTTGTAGACTACATTTAGAATTTCTCCTACTGAGTAACGACATAACCCGCTTCGCCCGAACTTAATTTGCCGGATTTCAATATTTGTTGATGAATCCTACGCGTAGTTCCGTTTACTTTGGCTACACAGAACTAAGAAAGAAAAAGGAAGCCGATAGCCAGCGATTCCTTTACAAACAAAGAACAAGTGTTTTCAAGTCTACAACTTGTGAAAATATGAACATATATTTACATTACTGCGGTTACATGTATGACGCACTTACCCTGCCAGTGCTTCTTGACTCCTCTCGAGCGGAAGCAGCATTCAATCGACAAAATAGATTTGCCATCGTCCGAGGGACCAACAGATCATGAAGTAAAACATGAAAGAACTAGACTGGGCACGAGGAGACTTAATGGAATCGAAATAGTGGCTCAATTTCAACAAGAAGAATCAATTATGCGATCCAAAAGCTCTCGCCTCTCGCGAATGACGAAACCAAATTGAGTCTTCGCATCATTGAACAATCCCGTTGCTGAAGTAAAGGATGTTGGGATACCAAGATTGTCACGCTACAAAACACAACAATTGTATATGTGTGGTTCCAAAACATATGATATAGGCTAAGTGCTCTTTCTCACTATTCCCATACGGCAGTGATTAACTTATTTCAAAGGATATATCGTGCACAGAGAGCAAGAAGCCAAACTATTTTCGGGAGATTTTGATAATCATAATCGAGCCCGCACGATAGGTATTACGTATGTCAGAGCTTAGTGCGTGAAGTCTTTAAGTACATTATGTTGGCGAAAATAAAATTTACGCTAGTATTCAGGGTTTATCGTAGAAATAAGATGTAAACTTGGTAAAACTGGAGTGCGCTTAGTGCATTTCTAGCCTTCTGATTGGCTGAAAGGAGCCAGGTTAAGATTTTATAACCTGGCTCCGACAAATACGATCAACGAATTTATCAGCTGAGTTATTTATTACCTCATATTCGGCGCGCCCTCGTAGAGTAATTATTATTATAATAAAGTTCGGATATCACGCGCACTGTCATTGTTTGAGAGAGCGTACCCTATGAGAGTAAAAAGCATAAAGCTGAGTTACAGCTCTCACGTCATCTGCCAAATTGTACTATATCCGACCTTTTCCGGGACTTCTCTCTGGCCTTTTTCGATAATTGAAAATGAAATTTCGGAACAAGCGAGCCGGCAAGTAGCGACAGGAGAACCAAACCAAGGTTTGTAAATATGCCAGGCGCCATAATTTACGCTATTAAAATGTGAGCAGAGAAGAAAATCCTCAAAGAGGAAACAAAATGGACAGTCCAAGTCTTAAAGGTTTTCACGCTCAGTTAGATTGCAAACTTACGTACGGTAATATCAATAATATCAAGAGAATTCAATATGGCGGCGATCACGGCTCGATCTGTAAAGAAAAGTGTTTCGTACCATGACTTATACAATTTGAGCACCGCAGATCTTCTATTTGATGAAAAGAAAAATAAAAGAAGACCTGCAAGTAAATCTTTGGGATTTTCGAGGCAGAGCGATGACATGATGTCAGAATTTTGATTTGCTTTAATTTAATTTTCGCGCTAAGACTACTGAATTTGCATTTAATGCCTGGCATATTTTTATTCCGAAAAGGACCTGAGAACTAATTTATTTACCTGCAAGAACATAAACAAATATGGCCGACGATTCGAAGATCAGCGTTGCTCGTGTTTAACTATTTCAGTCATAGTTTTCAACATGGCGTCTCGTCACTTACTCAACATGGAAAATAAGGGATATTCTGGCGCGTTGGGAACATTTTTGATGGGAGGAAATGGCAATTTTACAGGATATTTGGACGCTTCGAACTCTGTAGCAGTCAATTCGATCGAGAGCAGTTGACTTTATTGATGCACTTTCCTGTAATAGGTGAGTGTTTGGGATGGAGTACGACGGATTTTGAAGAACTGTATGGCGACCTAGGTCAATGATCAATGACAAAAGAACTGGCTCGGGAAGTAAGTGGTTTTTATTTATCGAGTCCCTGTGAGGTTTGATGAATAGCAGAATCAGTACTGAATATGTCTCGATCGAGAGCAGACGGGACCATGAGCTCCTGATTGTTATATTTTAGAAATTTTTACAAATTTCCATACAGTTTCTTATATTATTTGGACGCCATTATGGACGAAATGCGCAAGCGCGGCCGCCATCTTGTCCAATATTTCTGCCGATGAGCTTATCATGGCGATCTCCGGTCATCGCAGTCATCAGGGTATTTCCTATGAGTACTCCTTAATATTTGTATCGTACTCATTTTGTTACTACAGTTGTTGTTGTTCGTATTTTGGTTGCCGTTGCTTTTTCGGTTCGGTGCTGTTTCTTTTAATAACCTAAACAAAGCGTCCGTGACATCATTTTTAACAAAATATTCCCCTTCCTCTATGGTTTTTCCTGAACCTGGTAAGGATGGGTTTTTCCTCTCGCAATCCATCATTTTGACTGAAAACAATTTTATTAATTTTGGAAGTGACCCTTCTCTGCCCTCTCTCAATCGCAAATTATGCGTTAAGCTCAGAAAATATTATAATTAACGCAGGTGGCTACAAATTATTGCATTAATAAGCTTCATTATATTTGCGCATTTCTTTGCCTTGTGTCTAATCGAACTCAAGATGTATGCATTCAAGTTACCCTGCTTCATACCGGAGTGGAAAAAAAGAAAACGTAGAGGATATGATTCGAATTTCATAATTGCCTCACTTTTCGTTCAGAAGGACAATTTTATTGACGCAGTTGATTTAAATACAGAGCCATCAGGATTAAACCACAGAAATAAAGGCGAGGTTTTAAGCAAAATTCTGTAGGCATTCATCTGCAGCTTCTCGTCACTGAAAGTCACAGGGATGGTCATCATGTTTACAAAGCTTTCTAGGCTACGTTGGTCTCGTCTTTTTCGAATCTTGAGATGAGTTCTTGTTATCTTATAGGATCAGGGAAATGGGGTATAGTATTTCAAAATTAGATAGGAAAAGGGAAAAATAACGAAAGGAAGGAAGTAATCCACAACCAACTTCAAACCAAAGGTAGGACTCAGAAGCTGAAATAAATTAATATATAGATTTAGCCAAGCCTAAAAGCAAAGCTCGCATTTTTTTTTTGCCCCTGGCCAGGGCAAGGGCAAAGTGTTGTGCGTTCCTCGATAGTTGTGCGTTCGTCGATAGTTATCGGCACTTCAGTTTTTTCAAACGCAGTAATACCGTCACGAAGACTCTGAGCAATAAATTCCTCTTTGAAAATTAAGCAGGGTTTTGAGGAAAATAAATTATTATTGTAATAACAATATAATAGTTTTTCAGTTCCTTCAACATTTTCATGCAGAGTCCTAGCACACTCACAGTTATGACATGTACTTGGAAACCTGCTGTTCTTCTTTACAATATCATACAAAATTATTTTTATTACGGTTAAAAAAGTCTCTCTATGATTCCTGAGTGTTAAGTCATTCGTAAAAGTTGAGTCGATGTATTTTGGCGAAATCTGAACGTTCTATTCACAAGTTAGAGGCCCACAAACTTACTTACTCTCAACTAACACCGGTAGGCATAAATCAACTTTGATAGCTTTCCTTCCCCAGTTGGGTAGACAACAGGCAAATTTAATTTCTTGAACTCAATTACACTGTTAATGTCAGACAGAAAATTGTGGATGTCAAAAAAGGTCGAGGGATGTTGTATTGTCTAAAAAGAAAGTATTTATACAAGACGTACCAATAGCAAGAGCATAAATTTGTGCTGTTACTTTTGCTTCCATCGTACGATACTTACTGTAATAAAATTGGAATAAACAATCACGACGAAATTTTGGTATTCCTTCTTTCAGATGTCATGAGTAAAAGAAACACCCACTGAAGATTTTTTTTTAACGTTTATTAGTTTACTTTGTGAGAAATTATTCTTGAAAA